TGCTTACCTTAGTGAAGAAGTTAGGTAAATTCCGCCTTAAGGGGCCTGGCCTTCTAAGACATGAGTGTTAGAGGATTGGAGGAAATATCTCCAGGACACGATCATTATGAAAGGTGCAGAGATAACACTCTGAATAGAGGAGTAGGAAGCTAGGCAATGACTGAGTCTCTGGGGAAAGGCCTGGGACCAGATGGAACATGATATTGAAGAGGCAGAGAAAGGCAGATTTGCAGGAAAAACTCCTTTGATTTTGGTGAGTTTTGTGACACAAAGGCAGGTAACTAAAACCAAGTTCTGCTCATGCTGTTGGAGGCTGTATGGGCATGGGCTACACTGAGACTCTTAAGCATCCCAAGGGGCCATGTCCTGGTCCTGTTTCTGTCTGCACCTGGTATAGTAAACATTTCTGTGTTGAATGAATGAGTGAGTGAATGGGTTGGAGACCTCACAGAGCGAGCTGGTTCCTGGGAACGTGTCCAGACACTTCAGTTGGGGATGACTTCAAGATGGCAGAGGCAGAAAACAGCTGGAGTAGGCAGCTATATAGATAAGATATTAGGTGTTTTGTTGGCAGTGCCTGCTTCTACTGTGAGCATTCACCCCACAGTACCTTGCCATGCCTGGCGGTGGACTCTGTGACAGTATGGCCTGAACCTGCCACTGGTGTGTGCTTGCCAGGCCATTAGCAGATCTCATTCATTGTGGGTATTCATGCGGAAATTTCTTTCAAGTAATGGATTTTGCAAGGTTTGGAGAAAACTGTTTGAGTGCTTACATGAAAACTGTATTTTCCGTGGATAGTTTGAGCTTTGGTTTGAAAAGAGTCAATGTGGCCTTCTATCTGCAGGGTGTGCTTTCCAGCATTTCCTCAGACTTTAAAGTGACTTGTAATTGCCACTCTTGAGTGAAGTCCTGGAAGAATAATGGTGATTTTCGGGAGTTGGGAGAGTGCTGCTGAAGCCTGGAATGTGTTCACCGCAGCCATTTAGATGCCGGAGGAGCAGACTTCCCTCGCACACAAACGAGGAGGGGGAGAAGAGAACCGTAGCATTGCTGAGGGTCTGTCAGGGGCAGAGTTGAAAGCAAATTGATGATTAGAAATATAGGACTCCAGCACAAACCCGAGTTTCAAAAGTCTTTCACTCCAGGGCCAGGGTTGTGGCTCAGTGGTAGAGTGCTTACCTGGAATGTGTGAGGTACTGGGTTCAGTCCTCAGCACCACATAAAAAGAAATAAATAAAATAAAGGTCTCGTGTCCATCTACAACTAAATAGATATATATTTAAAAAGTCTCTCACTCCAGTAAAATGTAAGTCATGGTGGAAAAGCCAGAGCTTTGCTCTCACTCTGCTGTGGATACAGTGATGGTGTCTGCTCTACCCAGCTCCCCGTGTTCTGGACTCAAAACACTGAGTGTCACCCCCTTCACTGAAGTGCCTGTCGCCACCCCACCCCAGGGCCAGTGGTACTCAAGAGCTCCGTGGGAGGTCTCCACCTTCTGAGGGGTCAGTGTGGAGTGTGACTTCAGGAAGCTGCTGGATGTAGGTCTTCCTGGAGCAACAGCCTTTGTGGATTCCTGGTCCATACTTCTGATATACTCTCTCCTTGTTTAATTTTTTCTATTAAAAGAAGTAAAGCAGCCTAGAATAACAACAGAGAGCCTGCTCATTGTTTTCCGGGATGCCCTTTCTAGAGCCCCAAAATTAGAAAGACTAACAATTTGGTGTGTCATGCTGTTATTTGAAATTTTAATTTGGACATGAGGGCCCAGAGCTTACATTTTTGTCATTCTGTGTGTGGGAGCCATGTTAGAACACCATTAAGGTGATCTAAAGGGCCTCTGGGAAAACCTGGCTTTTGGCTTTCCCACTGTGAGCCTTCGGAGGCAGGTTCATGGTCTCTGGGCTCTGTACCTACAGGCATATCCCCTTTGACTTGTCTACCATTTAAAAAATGTGTTTGTTAATCGCCCAACACTTGAAAATCATGACATTTTACATAGAATCTAGGGAATCTTGAATAATGGGTTTGCCTCCACTCTCAGGACAACTTCCCGGGGGGCAACAGATGTCCACTGGTAAGACCCTGCTGTTCTCTACACCCATGACCCCTCCCTGGTATCTCACATCGGGCAGCCATACTCATTTAATTTGCATTACCTGCTGGTCCCTATACACATTTCAGTTTGCCACTCCAATCACTGAGTATTGGATCTGAGAATCAAAAATCATATAGATAGGGTGAGCACACAATCAACTGCCCAACTAGAATTCTCTGAGTAAACAGGGGTGTTGTGAATAATCAACCATGGTCATAGGCATAAACCAGGACGGTCCCAACGAACCCAGACATGTAGGCTCCCCATTTTCACACCAATACATTCAACTCCTTCTTACGAAAGAGGAAACTGAGACCTAGAAAGGGGATGTAATTTGCCTGTAGTAGGTACTGAATCAACTCATGACCTATCTGCCCTAACTATCTTGACTCCCATCCACTGCTTTTCCTAACATAACAGGCTGAATCTAATCCATATCCTCCTGGAATGTAGGGGTGAATAATTACCAAGCAACTAATGTCCCCTGAGAGCTACAAGGGAAGCTGACATCATCAGTGGCATTTCTGCTGTGACTCTGATTAATGGTTTGGACCACAGAACCTGCAGTGATGCTCGAAGCACTAATAGGCTGGACAATGAGAGATCCATTCAGACATACCAATTGTCCAGGCAGGGGAAAAAAAAAAACCATAGCAAATGTTCCCACTAAGTCAGTCTGTGGTGACTGACCTACTGACCAGTGCTGACTCTAGATTCCTTGATTGGCTAGGCCTGGCAAGTGAGTGTGAATTGTGTCTGCAAGAGCCATCTAAGATCCCAAATTCCCAAGTCTTTGACCAACTGCCTATGGCCTCACTGAGTCTGCAAGAGATATCTGCAGAGAACACTCCAGATGAGACCAGTGCTCACTGTTCATCACTTGCTCAGACTTTGGTCCCAAACCTGTCTGGTCTCCTGCTGTGGGGACTGTGTGGGCCTTGGGGCACCTCTTTATGTTTTGCAAAGGCTGCAGTGAAAGGCTGGCCAGGAAGTCTCCTTTAGGGTGCTTCCCCAGGGCTCTGCTTGGCTCCTGCTGGTCCTTCTCAGGGACCCTGCGAGCAGCAGCACCATCTCACAGGTCAGCTGTGTGAGCTGGAGGACAGAAAGAAGGACGCTCCTCTTGCTAAGGCCTAAAGCAGAGTTGGCCTGAGTGACCCCTGCTGTTCCCTTGGAGTAAAAGTCTCACTTTCCCTGCGTGGGACCCGGCAGGAGGCATGACCCGGATGCATACTGCTACCTTTGCCTCCCTTCGTTGAGGCCAGCCGAGGAAAGGCCAAGGGAGCAAGGTTCTCTGCTGCCCGACTTTCTGACATTGTGTCCTGGCTACCTCATCCCCCTGGTGTGCTGGAGGTGCCCTTTCCTCTTTGCCCCTGGTCAGAACTTCTTTCTTGGGGAGTGTCTTCTAGAAGTGGGGACTAGTGACCAGCTGTGACTTTTATAAGCCCCCCCACACAGCAGCCTTTTCTCTAGAGCACTCAAGAGACTGACAGGAAAGAGTTGTTTTCTAAGTGAGCCAAAACCACATGCATGGATTTTATTTTTGTATGGAAATAGGACTGTGAATGAGTGTAAGAAAATGTAGGTTGTGGATTTCCATTGCTGTTTTTTGACCTGGACGATTAGCAGGTCCTTCTACCTCCTGGTGCACCTGGTGACGTGAGAAGCCGGGCTCGTGTTGACTCTTGGTCTCAAGCACACCAGCATTTAAGACATCTCTGCATGTGCCGTGGTCCAAATCATTGGTGAGCCTCACAACAGGAAAGCCATTGATGATAGAAGTTGCCAAGATACAGACCCCAGAGCTCTGCTGTCCAGTAGCTACATGTGGTCACAGAATTCTTGAAATGATGATTTGTTGTTGATACTAGCATAGGTTTAAAAAAAAAGTTTAAATTAATTTACTTTTACACTTTAAATATAATGGTGTGTGTTGGTGGCTGCACCTCCAGTGGATGGTGCTGTTCTAGAGATGGATGTCATGCCCCTCGGTGAAACAGAATTCAGTTGGATGCTCAGGTGGCACAGTGACCTTCCCCATCACAACTCGGAGAGGAGGGAGGTTTGATAGTGGTGTCCTGATGCAGAACATCAGTGGATTAGCAAGGCTCCAGCGTGGGGGTATCTAACAGGCCTCTTCATTTACCTTTATGGGAATCTGGTGAAGGCATCAGAATAGCTTTCTAAAGGTCAGGCTGGTTTTAAAAAGGACTGAGCTCTCTCTTGCCCCTTCCAGCATCTTGTTTCCCACACGGCTCTTGCCTTCCAGAGCCCCTCTGGGGCACCTGTTCTAACACCAGCCGTTGAGCCTCCATGCCATATCACGCAGAAGGCCCTGGGGTACCTTACGCCAGCTGTGGGTACCATATGGAAAAGCCACACCATCTACATATGCACAGAGTGTTTCCAGCCAGGAGTGGAGAGGAGTGTGTAGCTGATCTAGCTTTATCTTTTCCTTGCCTTTGAAAATTTTAATCATTGAAACATCTTTAGGCCATAAATAGAATCATGTAGCAAGATAATCCTGAGTTAAAACCAAATATGTACTTCTGTTTTTGTATGGATGTGGGACTGGATGGATGGATGGAAATGTAGACTGATGCAGATGGCTTGACTTAGCGGGAGGATGGGCGGGGAGTGAGAGCAGGGGGCACGGAGGCTGCTCAAGGAGAATCTTTCCTCTGTCTCCGCTTCCACCTCGTCTAGGGCAGGCTTCACTTAGATGACTGCCCAAGGCTGAGGAGGAGGTCATTCTGTTGACCGAGCCCAGCCGTGGTGATGTGCCTCTCGGACCACACGCAGACGGGTGGCCGCGTGGGGATGGATGGCAGCGGGGGCCAGGTTCCAGGCTGCATTTCCCTCTGGAGTAACCTCTTTCCTTCTTCTTTTCTTTCCACTCTTCTAGGCAGGACAGGGCTGCTTGCTGATCTCTTGCCCAGTTTTGCTGTGGAGATTATGCCAGGTATTCAGTCATTTAACTCTTTATTTGCCTGATTTGCTGTCACTCCATCTGTCTTGCTTCTGCATTAGTCACTAATGACTTATTTAATTGTTTTCATATTTGTCTGAGTATGTCTGTGAGCTAAGCCCACTAGAAGAGCCTTTAAACTATATTCCTTCTGTTCCTCGTCCCCGAGATAATAACAATCAAAGATAGGGGGAGGTGGGGACCCAGGCCCCGAGCGCCAGGCACGCAGTATCCTTGACAAGCTCCATGCCTGCCTCAGTGTTCCAGCTGTGCCCCGACAGCTGTGTCCTCCCCACACGCATTCCTTGTCTGATCCCTCATCCCCTGTGATGCGTTCACGCGTTCAATATGATATAATCCTGTTCCTCTGAACTGCCTTTTGTAACATTATCAAAGATCTCTTCAAACCTCAGGAGAGCTATCCACTCCTCCTGCCTTAAAAACAGCCATCCACAGACCTGCATTTCCTGGTGTACGATTTCGTGGGATCAAGGGCCCCTTGCCTCCCTGAGGCTCAGGGCCACCTGCCCAGCACACTGATGCAGCTCGGTGCCCCAGCCTCCACCAGCCAGCACCAGTTTGGGGCAGCACTGCGTCTCATGGTTGATGGAGGCTCAGAGACGCAAGGGAAGTGTGGTGAGGAGGCACCCAAATCAAGGGGCAGGAAAAGGTGGGGTTCAGTCTTGTTTTGGAGAGTTTCTGCCATAATTTTAAGAGTTTCCTAATAACAACAGAGAGGTACATGTTTCAAGAAGCACCTGGAGCCTTCACAGTGAGCTTTACTAATTATTCTTCCGTGAATTCTTCTGTCCTTTCCCACCAGGCATTCTTCTTATTGATGTGGTTCCAAGGACACCAAGAGATATCTCTCTGTAATCCCCCTTGTCCAAAGTTCCTGCAGTTTGAAAGCATTTGTATACACACACACACACACACACACACACAGCTACATTGCTGGGTTTCAAACTAGAAGTTATATAACTGGGAATTACTGTCTTTTTCATATCTGAAAGAGGCATTTCCTATCCGCCTGAATTTCCCTTCCTCTGATTCCAAAAATCCTTTCACGGTGATACTCTTTTGTTTCTCCAACGTAACCTGCCAGTCCTTTGTCTTTAACTGCCTGACCCAAGAGTGGCCCTCCACTCAGCTCATCCAAACCCTGGGCTCATGTCTACCTTGGGTTCCATCGTGCTGTGACGTTAGTGCTAAGGCCAAGGCCTCCTGCTGTCTAGTGTGTGCAGCAGGAATGCCCCCAGATCTGCAAGCCATCTGCCCCTACCAAGGGACAGGGGGACCTGGGTGATCTGAGTGTGTTTCAGACGGGGAGGCGAGGAGGGACCTTCAGGAGGTACAGGATGTTCACTTTCTCTCTGAGGAAATAATATTCTAACTAAAGGTCAGATGACTTTGCCATTATCATAAGGCCTCCACACTTCATAGTTTCAGTCTCCCAACTACATGTCCATCGAAGGACTATTTAGTAATTGAAATTTAAGAAAAAATGTGCACTGAGGCTCACTGTAAAGGGATTTTTGGTGAGAAAGCTCTCAACTGAAATGAACTGCTTTAGTCTTTTGGCTTTGAAGGGAGAGATGGCTCCTTCAGTCCGTCCGTTGCCAGGTCCCATCGCATGCTACTGAGTCAAGTCACGTAGGGCCGCAGTCATTTTTATCGAAGCCAGATAGAATCTACTTCCTTTCTCTCCATCTTTGAGATGGCAGATGAAATGGGATTCACGCTCGGCCTGTGCCAAGCCGTGAGAGAAGCAGGAGTCAAACACTGCAGGCCTCCACGTCAGCCTTGCGCCTCACCGGACCCCGAGAGCCTGAGCCCTGGGCTTGCTGGCTGACCGGCTTGAGGGTGATCACACCAGACCCATTCTCGGGGATGGGGACAGTGCCTTCTCTGCTGGACAGCTGTCCAGCTATAAGCAAGAGGTGTGGATCTCCGCCCTGGTGTGGAGTACAGGAAGGGTGTTCTAGGGCAGTCTGCAGGGAGAGCACATGAGTGTGGCCAGGCCCTGGACCACCTGAAGATGGTCTACTCAGAGGCCATGTGGACACAGAGGACTGTTTTCAGGGCCTGGATTTTAGAGACAAGATTAACTTGACCATAAAAGGCATTGACAGAGCCCTCCACCTCCTAGCCCAGCCGCGCGGCTCCCCTCCCCCGCCAGGACTCCTTCTGCACTTGTCCTGACCCTATTCTGACGCTGTGGTCAGCTTGGCAAACCCTTTCCCCGGTAACAGGCCTGACTCCTCAGCCCCATGGCTTTGCACTGCAAGCCCAGCGTGACACTGGCGCTCGCTGCAGGGTTCCTGTTGAGTGGGCTCTGTTCCCTGTCGAGCGCTTTCTCCCCAGGCCCTCCCCCCGACCTCCTTTCACAGGGACACACCTTTTGGTGTGCCCCGTCCTGAAGGTGGGCTGGCTACCTTGAGTGTGGGTTTCTCTGTGCGTCCTTCCAGAGTGGGTGTTTGTGGGCCTGGTGATCCTGGGAGTCTTCCTCTTCTTCGTCCTGGTGGGGATCTGCTGGTGCCAGTGCTGTCCCCATAGCTGCTGCTGCTACGTCCGCTGCCCGTGCTGCCCAGACTCCTGCTGCTGCCCTCAGGCCTGTGAGTAAAGAGCCAGGGGAGGTGTGGAGTGGTGGAAGAAATGTCCCCTCTCCATCTGACAGCTGTGCCCCCGAGTCCTCCTCCACCTCCTTTCCTTCCACCCGGACCCCGTCTTCTGCCAGAGCCCATCTTCAGGGATGCCACTGTCTGCCTGCTCGCCCGCTGCCTGCATGCCTCCATGTGTCCATCCACACCTTCACCCATGCATTAGGAGCCCATGGGCAGTACTGATGGAGAAAGGGCAGGTGCAGGACAGCCATGTCATGGGATAGGCTTTGTCCCTCCTCAGGGCATTCAAACCAGAGGAAACTTTCCTCATTCTCCTCTCATGCAGAGAACCTCCTCTTTTTAAAAGTGGATGTGCGGACTGTGGCCTTTGGGCACCACCCGGCAGCCACTGATGAGTTTCCCTTACTCCCATGATGAACAGGCCCCAACAGGACTGGTCCTCCTATAGGGATTGATGGTACCTTACTAGCCAAGCCCACATAGGCACTGAGTTTGGCATCCCTACCACAAACCAGACACTTCCTGGAAGAGAGAGGCACACTGTGCACCTTCAGTGTCTTTACGGATAGCGGTGTTGGGGGGCCTCAGGTCATTTGCTTAGCTTTGAGAGTCATCCAGCAAGGGTCACAGGGTCACGTGGCAGCCCATGGCCTCTTCACCTCTCCAGAAGAGGTTCCCCGGCTCCTGAAAGCAGCCCTGTGCTGGGGGCCTCCTCCAGAGGGCTGAGGCGGTCTGCAGACCATGGGCTGCTGACCCTGGGGATGCTGCTCTGACAGCTCCCGGAACCCCATTAGCACCAGAAGCCAGGTTCAGCACGTGATTCCTGCAGCTGCTCACAGTGTCACTTTTCACTGGAGCTGAAGTGGTCGGAGGGAGAGTGTCCCTTCTGAATCCGATCAGTCCTCGGAGAAGACACACGTCCAGGAGCTCCCCTGAGAGCATCCTCGGGGATTCCTGGTGTGAGGGTTGTGGAGGGTGGGGCAACGTAATGTCTCTTGCTCTTCGTCTCCTCCACAGTGTATGAAGCAGGGAAAGCGGCCAAGGCCGGGTACCCTCCCTCTGTCTCCGGTGTCCCTGGCCCTTTCTCCATCCCCTCTGTCCCTTTGGGAGGAACCCCCTCATCTGGCATGCTGATGGACAAGCCGCATCCACCTCCCTTGGCACCCAGTGACTCCACAGGAGGAAGCCACAGTGGTAATTGTAGTTCCAGACCGCCCTGCCCCGCCTTGTCCCTGGCCCCACCCAGCTCCTTGCTGATAAGCACAGTCTGTTCAGTGGTGTATCTTGGGGAAAGTTATCTGCTTTCCAAAAGTGGGGTCCTTCTGGTCATGTGAGGTGTCTTTTGGAGTGCATCTTGGGCTTTCCCAGGCTGGAGGACCTGCTGACCCTGCTCCCTTCCTAAGCACCCCAGTAACGAGGGCCGGAGAGCTGGGGCACACCTTGAACCTTGTTCAATGTTATTCCGGCCCCGCCTGGTGTTAAGGACCGTCTGAGGCACGTGGAGGAGGGACAATGCCATGTGCAGGATGCAGCTTCTCTAAAGGCAGCATGGTCTTGTCAGGGACAGAGGGTGGGCCCTGATTGTGGCAATCAGAGGCTGGTGTTACTTGGACGTCAGAGATGAAGGAGCTGGAGTGGTTACAGAGCCTGCAGGGGGAGGCTGGGTTTGGGGCTGAGCCAGAAGTGAGAGGGGTGCTGAGCAGGAAGGCCAGCGTGGTGAGATCCCAGGGCTGGGGGGACCCCTGTGAGTGCTGGGCGGCCTGGGAGAGGTGGAAGGGCATGTGGAGCCGGATTGAGGGGCCTCCCTCGCAGCTCCTCCAGAGGGCTGGGCTGGTACGTGAGTTAGCAGGAACGCTGCAAGCAGAGGGTGGCAGGGGACAAGCGAGTGGGCAGGGGGAGAGAGTGGGGCCAGAGACCACGCGCCAAGGCCTGGCTGAAGTGGTTGGTGCGTCCGCTGAGCATCTGGCTTCTGAAGGAGACAGCGGGATCAAACAGCAAGAGGAACCTGAGAGGAGTTTGAAAGAAGTGATACGATGTTGGAGAAGGAGGGAAAGGGGCCTCAGGATGGTACCCCAAGGTGTTCAGTGTTGCAGATCATAGCTGCCATGCTGTAACTGGTTGGGAGAGTGGACTTGGGTGACGATCAGCTCTTTCTGGGGCTTGGAGGTAGGGGGGGAGGGGGAGGGGGAGAGGAGGGTGGAGGGGCAGGGGAGGGTGGCAGGGCAAAGAGTGTTAAAATTCAGTTTCCTGGAGGCATCTGGACAGGATTACAGGGTAGAGGAGGTTAAGCTTGTGTGTCTAGGAGACTTAGGCGGTGATTTTCAAATTCCTAGATGCGATGAGCCCTGGGGTGGGTGAATCAGACATTTCACGCGGGAGGCTTCTAAGCTGCCCCCAGGGGAGCCGGGAGGGTGCAGCCCACTTGCTGAACTGCCACCGCCCGACTGGAAGGGGTGGGCAGCCTGGGTGAGGAGTTGGTCTTTGTGCTTTTCTCTCCCTGGAACTATTAGTAGAATCCTGACGTCTGAGACTGGGAATGAGTCACAGACTGAGAGGTAAAAGTTAATGATCAAGGACACAGAGAATCAGAGAGGTAAAGACCGGGCAGTGCGTGTCCCCAAGGGTGGGGTGGGCCACAGGGGCATTGAGGGGACCCGTCCCACGCTCTTTATTTGCTGCTTTCCCTGTCCCCCTAATTCTTTCCCTTCCTTCCCACTGGAACCTTGGCCCTTCTTCCTACTCAGTGGGTCATCACAGTGAGTGCTGCTCAGAGAGGCAGATCGTCCTCTCTCCCGGCTTCAGCCTTTCCTGAGCTCCTGGTCATTGCGGTTTAGTCATTGGTCCCATCCTGCCACATTAACTGCAATTAGAAGTGGCTTTAAAAAATAGAAAACTGAATTATTCCACAGAACAGGAAATCTCAAGCCTGGTGGCTCCAGGTTTGGCTAGTGGACAGGTTTTGTCCACCTAGTGGACAGTTTGGCAGCATCCTTGAAAGAACTAGCTCTTTGCATCTCAGTACTCTCATCCCGAGCACCCCCTCTGGCCTGCTCGGCTGGCGGCCCTCGTGATCCACTGATGACAGCAATAGTTCCAGTATTAAATGAATTCAGAGAGAGAGAGAGAGAGAGAGAGGGAGAGAGAGATATGCGCTTCATCCTTGTGCCTCATTTCCCAAGAGTGACAGAAAATTCCCAGGAGCTCTTCCCCTATGTACCAGCCTTCCCTGGCAGAGTTGTATCCCATGCCCATTCCTGAGCCAGATGGGCTTAAACTAATCAATCCTCACTTCAGAGACCTAAAAAACTATTGACCTTGAGATCAAACAGTCTGGGTCTGTCAGCCCCCAAACAGCAAAGATGGCCATCAGTGTCAGTCACAGCCAGTCTGGCCTGGCCTGTGTCATCCTCATATCCTGGCACCAGGAATTAGTCTCTTATGGTCCCCATGGACACATCTCGTGCTCACGGTCCCAAGGTAGGTTACTGTTGGCCTTTGGCTAATTCTCCTTTAAAAAATGTGGCTTAGGCCAATGTAGATTGTTCTGTAAAGAACACTAAAAATGTTAAGAAATGTCTGTGGGTAAAAATGTAAATCTAGCTTTTTTAATATTTATATGCTACCTTAGTTTCAGGGTAATCATCTAGCCTTACCTTTGTGCGTAATGCTCTTTGGAACATTGTGCAGGGTGAAAAGGCCTCTTTGGTGAGCCAGCTAGCGGAGGTCTGGTTGGTCACTGCATGGGAGAGAGAGAAGGGGCCAGACTCCCTCCCCTGAGCCTCCCAGCAGTTCCTGGAGAGCTTCTCCCATACAACAGAGGGAGCAGCCTCTTGCCCCCCTGGACCCAGCCTGCTGCTCCGTCAAGGCCTCTCTATTGGACATCCACACTCCACCTGCTCCGGCCCTGTCTGCCTCCTTCCCAACTTCAGTACCTTTCCTGGCAGAAGTCAAGAGGCGCTCGAATCTCAGTCATTCAAGTGCAACTTGAGAGACATCTGTCCCTTTCTTCCTCTTCACAGAGAGCTCCTGAGCAAGCTTTGACCACTCAGTGCCGTTTCCCTGCTCCGACCCCCTCCGCTCACTGTCCCCACCTCTCTGGGGACCAGTCCCTGAAGGGCACCTGGTACTCCATCTGCTGGATGCTCGTTTGTCCTCACGCCCTGCCCCACTCCTCCCTCCTCGCCCTTGTGAACACTGTGCAGCTCTCCCACCGTCTCTCCCTTTGGGCTCCCCTGCCCCTGTGTCTCCACATGTTGACGTCCCCGTTTTGCCCACCAGCATCTCCCAGGGAGTCCTCTCTGCTCCCCGTCTTCACGCTGGTGACTCCCAATCGTCATCCCCAGCCTCTCTGCGGTCCCATATCCAGCTGCCCTGGCCATCTGCACCTGGATGTCTTACAGGCCCTTAAACCTCAGTCTCTGAAACTGGACCGCCCCGATGCTCTTCACTTCAGATCTACACGTCTTACCTCAGTGGATGGCATCCTCATCACCCAGTCCAAGCCACAGGGACGCATCCTTACCCCGCCTTCTCCTTCAGTTCATCACCAGTGGTCACTAAGTCCTTCTGATTGTACTCGACTGGCCTCGGCCTGTTTTGTTTTACTTCTGTGCTGCAGCTGTCCCGGTCCTCACTGCCATGGCCTCCTACCCTGCCTAGTGCTTCGTCTCCTTCCTGGCCTTCCCACATCTCCTCTTGCCCAGTTAGTCTCCCTGGCCTCCACTCATCCTTTGTCAAAAAGAATTGAGCACGGGCTTGAAATGTCATTTTCAAAATTAATAAGGATGTCTCTCTCTCTCTCTCTCTCTCTCTCTCTATATATATATATATCTATATCTATCTATCTATCTATCTATATATATATATATATATATATACACATACATGCCTACTGTATGTATACAGAGATTCTCTCTCTCTCTCTCTCTCTCTCTATATATATATATATATATATATGCATACATGCCTACTGTATGTATACAGAGATTCTCTCTCTGTCTCTATCTGCCTCTCTCTATATATATATATGCATACATGCCTACTGTATGTATACAGAGATTCTCTCTCTCTGTCTCTATCTGTCTCTCTCTCTATATATATATGCATACATGCCTAGTGTATGTATACAGAGATTCTCTTTCTCTCTTCTCTCTCTCTCTATATATATATATATGTGCATACATGCCTACTGTATGTATACAGAGATTCTCTGCGCTTGCTCTCTCTCTCTCTCTCTCT